ATCTTCTTGAGCAGGTCTGAGCAGAATGCTGGCAGCTCTTGTTGAATTATGGAGGAATGATTAGAAGAAACAGTTTTCCCCACAACAGCCCCCCACCGTTCACCACATTTTTAGATATAACTTGAACGAAATACAGCTGACATTTGACACGCAAAGCTTGACACAGGCACAATCCTCTGGAAGCATGTGCATTTGTTACTTTTTTTGAGGTGAAGATTGATCAGTTGTTTATATCCACGTTTTGAAGCGTGCCTATCATAACACAAATTAAATGAACGATAAAAAAAATTGAGAACATAGGCAATCATAAATAAAATAGGACTGAATATCAACAGTGACACAAAGAGCACTCCCCAGTGGGTATTATAACAAAGTCCATCCTCACCCCACCCATCCTTTCAGGAAGAGCCTGGGGAAATAGACAGGCTTTCTGAGAGCACAGAAGGCCAACAAATGCAGCTTCTATAGACTTGAGTCTGGCAGTGAAATTTGTCATTAAGGACGTTTTACTGACGTACTCCATCTGCCATCAATTTGGAGATACACAAGTCAACAGATGTCACTTCAGCTGCTGTGGTGTTACATAATGAAGGCTGAAGGTCTTAGAAATAGGTCAGGGTGCAAATGGAGGTGCAGCAGTTTGATACAGGATGAATGATCTCATTTCTTAGGGTGGACCACAGAGAATGTCAGTCTGTAATAGATGTAAAGGTTTCTAGATAAAAAAGTGTGGGAAAGAGCTTATTGAATAGGTACAGTTGCATCTAACTGAGGAATGGGTTCGGAGGGCAGTACTCTGAACACAAGGTGATTTTGCAGGTGGGAGAAAGAGAAGATAAACTGGTGTTTGAGTGAATGATGGAGGGAAGAGAAGGCAGTCTTAAAGGCTCTTGTTCTGTTTAGAAATTTTTCACGTATTTCTGACACCTTGAGGTGGAGTCAAAGCTCGGATCCACAGCTGTTCTTTCTCCCTGCCTCCTCTAGAACAGAGTAGTGTGATCCAGCCTAAATTAGGTGGTGATTTTTTTCTGCCCCTGTGGAAAATGAAAAAGTATTTAGATTCACCAGGTTCACCTTACAACTCACTGTTTAGAACAAGGACTAAATCTTCTCCTATCCTTATATAAAATGTCTACTGTAGCAAGCTTCTGAGCTTGATCAGGAAATGTCAGTGCTGTAATAATTCAGACAATAATAATAATAATAATGTAGTAGTACTGGGCAAGAAATTCTAAAACCAAAGTGCCTTAGATAATGTTTGAAGTGATTTGTGGTTTCAGTTGGAAACCTGTTGAAGCTGGATTGTATTAAATGGTTTCAGCCCCATAATTATCCTAGCTATTATCAAGTTTCTTACTGGGTTTAAATTCAGTGCCTAATGTAAAATACAGAGGGTGCTGAAGCTCTCTGAAGAAGTTCTGAGGCATATGACCTCGTCGCCTATGTTCCCAATCCAGCAGAGTTATTTTCCACCCTAGGCTGTAGAGTCCCTCATTAGGTCTGAATGTAACATTTTAGATTCACTCAAAAAATCAGATTTGTTGTTGACTTCAGCAGGTTTGGGATTTCAGTCCTGGAGATATAAATCTGTCCTACCCATGCAACAAGGCAGAACTTCTGTTGTTACTGCTATCTCTACCTACTGTGATGGGAAATGTCCTCTCACATAGATGAGGTACTGTCTCCTGTACTTGAGTTGTGCTGCATGGGAAACGTAACAGACTCAGCACTAATGCTTTACTAGAACAATTTATCTGTAGCACGCAGAGGTTGTGCTACATTTTCTCATGTTGGAAATGTAAAGAAGGTAACAGGAGAAGCAGCCAACACTGCTATTTTTTTTTCTTTGTTTAGTTGACATTTAGACTAAGAGTGTATTATCTTTGATAACAAGGTATATGTTTCCAAGTAAACATCTTTTCATCTGAATATTTAATATGAGGTGTCACATATGAGAAGGCTTGACATACCTCTTTGAGATCATGCTGTGCTGTGCTTTCATTGTCTGAGATAACTGAAAGAGCTAACTGTAGAGAGAGTCTTGATGAAAAGACTTTGAGCCGTTATGCAGAAGGCGACAAATGGCTAGAAGGTTAGTTCAGTTTAGTTATGGGGTGTGTTATCATGCTGGGCAACAAGGCTCTTCTCCAAGGGTGGAGAAACAACACAGGCTTCCGTGGATCATCAGATTTCCGTCTGTCTGATATACAGAGCTGAAATCTTGAGTCATATTTTTTATTATTTATTTAGTCCTCATCTAAGGAATGCCAAAAGATGTAGGCAAGTGGAATATAAGCTCTCAAGAGCTCCGGAATTGATTATGATGGCTAGCAAGGGAAGCTTTTCCAATGGGAGAGTGATGGTCGATCTTCCCATTCCCAGTGGAGGGTGCACAAATTCACGTGTCTGCCTGTGGTTTACTTCCCATTGTGAAATTAGTTTGACACCCTTGGCAGCAGAGGAGAAGGAGACTACTTAGATAACTAAAGAAAAGAGAGTGATGTGCTGGTCGAGTTAAGGTGAAAAAACTCAGTGCATGAGGATTGAGAGAATGGTGGGATAAACAGGGCAATCAGAAGAGAGTATTTTTCATGGACAGAAATGGCACCATCTAACTCGTGCCGTCATTCCCATGACTGAATTTCTCATAAAAATCAATGGCAGTTAGGGTGACTATGTTGAATCATTTCATAAATGATTCTGCTATCAGTTTACTCACAGCGTTATCATTAGCCCATTAGTTAACGTAGCCAACCTGAACCTGCATTTGCAGCCTACTCTACCTCCAGTCTATGGTGGCTAGTGAGGTCCACTCCAGCAAAGCGTGTATGTCCAAGGCAATCAAAACAGCCTCTAAAAGTACAGTTAGTGAAGTACTGTTAGAATAGTTGTAAAGAAAATATACAGATCTATACAATACTGCTGTTAGTTGTTGATATGACTATTTTCAAATTACCAGGGATAGTTTATGCATCCATGCTGGTGAACAGAATCGAATACTTAAGGCAACCCTTATGGCTGGAGCCCATATCTGGTGTACTTGCTCGCTGTAGGAAACCACTGTTATATGCAGTGAGTCAGGGAATATACTTAAAAGGGTATTGAGAGAGATTGTCAGCTTTCTTAACAGATGATCGATGTGATAAGTGTCCCAGGACAGAAAATACAAATCTCTCTTTATTTGACTTATTTAATGGTTACCATTTTGCAGGAATTTTTTGCTTAGGGTGGTTTTTTTTCCCTTTTTTAGTTTTCTGAGCAACTGGTGGTTTTATAAAGGAGTCTTAAAGAGATTTTCAAAAGTAGTTGTTCTCCTTACTGTATGGGAGTCTTCTGTGTGGGTACAGAGGGCAGGATAAACTAATTCATCCTCCTATGGTCTCACTGCAAAGATAAATACTGAGCTGTAGGCATTGAGAATGGGCTACTTTGCTAATGCAGTTTTGTTCCAGAGAGAGTCTCTTCTGCAAGTTAAAGACTTCAGTGGTTTATTACTGTATGCAAGCAGTTTCTGTAATAGAGCTAAATTAAATGTTGATCCTCCTTTAAATTGCTTACAAATGACAGGAAGTGTTTTTCCTTGCATTCCCTGTGCAACCTCTTGTGCTTTTAATTCATCTTCTTCCTCTTCCCCCTGCTGTGATCCTTCACGGCCATACTGCTCATGGTTTTCACCCTCTTGAGAGGAGCTGTTTCTACAAAGAAAAGATTGCAAGCTCTTGAAGTGGAGCATAAAAGTAGCAAATCAAATCCTTCAGCTTACTGAGGAGGAAATGTTCTTACAGGTCTGGCAAGTGGCTCAGCCATGCTGGGTTTTTAATTTCCGTTTTCAATTTATAAAGCGAAATCGGGATAATTCAATCTCTGCTGGACCTATACTTTCACCCTTCTTTCAGCAGAGGAGACAAGTTGCACGAGAACAATGTGATCAGAGAGGCCTGGGCCCAAAGAGTTTGATTCGTGACTAAATCAAAATGTTTTAGTTGTTTATAATGCAAAAATATTCCTTGAAATGCAAGCTTTAACTCTATTTGTTTTACTCAGTGCAGAGCTCTTTTTTTCTCTATATGCATGGCTGTACAGCTAACTTAAATGTGTGCTTATGTAGGGAAAGGTGACTTCTTATCCATTAGGTATCAGACCATTGCTGGAAGCAAAGTAAATGAATGTCCTGATGGGGTCTGGCATGTGTTAGCTTCCTATTTCACTTTCCCCATACAAAAAGATATGAGGAATGCAAGCCTTTCCCTTTATCTCACACAGTAACAATGCACCTCAGCAAAGATTTGAATGGGCCGCAGGATTATTAGGATTGTAATGTCTTGCTTTCCTTTTCAAGTGGGATGAAACTAAATGCAATCATCTGTTGGGTTAGACGAACACAATGGGTTCTCAGCCTTAGGCTTTCATCGCAGCAGCGATCTTCTATGATTTGGCCTGGCAGGGCTCCGGGCTCACAAAATATTGTAGGTGTCAGATGTTTGACATTAAGAACCAAGCGCTAGGAGCGGTTGTCATACTTGTGTCTCTCCGCTTTCTAGTCTTTCAATTTTAGAGTACTGTCACCATTTTCAGCATGTGATATTTAGAGAAGGCTAATGAAAAACTCTTTAGCTGAGTCCAATTTCAGTTATGTGGGTTTGAGTGATAGTCTGCTCAGATGCTGCTGTGTGCATTCTGGCAGGATCATGGTGCAGTCTAGCAGAGTGTTTACTCAGCTATAGAGCTGGGCTTTTATGGTCTTGGTATGTTCTAGGAGCAAACTGACATTGCGGTGTGCCTGCTGCCTTTACTATGACTATTTTATCAAGTTCATTTCTGAAAAAGAAAACAAAATCAAACTTTGAAACTATGCATCTCAACTTCACAGCATATTTTCTAAGCAGCATATGGAGCAGCCATGCTTACTGTGTTCCTGTCAGCTGCTTTTTGTAATTTTTCGGTCACGGTGTCCTATATGCTAAACACCTTTTTTTCCTTATACTAATGCTCTGCTGCAGGCTCTCCTACCAGAGAAATGATGATGATGAAGAAGAAGCTGCCAGAGAACGTCGCCGACGGGCTCGACAGGAGAGGCTGAGGCAAAAGGAAGAAGGAGATCTATCAGGAGAAGTAACAGAGAAATCAGAAGTCAATGCCCAAAACAGGTAAACATCTGATGTTGTATACTGACAAGTCAACAGTAATTTTTGTTCAGAGTGGAGAAGTGTCTTAAAGAGGTCTGTTTTGCAACTTAAATTTTAAGCTGAAACTAGTCTACAAGGTGCTAGGTCTGAGGGCTGAACTTCAGTCCCCATCTGGCATTGTCAGCATCATGCAGCTATAAAAAGCAGAAAAGCTTGTGGAGAGGGCCACTACTTGTCACAAGCTGAGTGGGCAGATCAGGTCTTCCAGGTTGTCCATCATTTATTTAGTTACTCATAGTAACAAATAATATACCCAGATTTCCAGTAGCAATAACGCAATTGATAGAGGAGACCAGAAATAAACATTGTGATATTAAGCTAATAGATACTGAGCACAATTAGCCTTCTATTAAAGACAAGGAGAATGGATATAGATAGGAAAATGGCAGTATTTTGGATTGCAGATTATAATATATTTCTACAATAGAGGGAGAAAAAGCTAGGAAGAGAAAGAAATCTACACACAGGAGAATTAAAAATATGAATTTTGAAGAAATCAAAAACCTCTAGGAACTGAGAGCAAGATCCAGTCCAGATACTTACAGGCATTGGGTAACATGTCAGAAATTAGGTGGTGAATTCACTCCATTTTCATTGTCCCTTAACAGAAAGTTGGAACCGTACCCTTAATTGCCAGGCTATTCCTTTATGGACTGTATCTGTGGATGTTGTTGCTGAACAGGAGTAACTTCTTGTTGATAGAGAAGTTCACTGAAGTCAGAAGGTATCTTACTCATGTAGCATCTTCAAAATTTTTTCCTGGTGGGAAGACATATGCCTGAGGCCAAGCTGAAGTGAGCCTTAAAGCAAGCTAAGGTCTTCCAAGTATTTTGCTGTAGAGTAGAGAGAGGGAGGATGAATTTTCCAAGGTTGCTCTTATTTCAGCTGCTCAAAATGTCAGGACTGCTCAGCACCTACTGAGAGGTCAGCAAGACTCCTGGGGACTTCAGTGGCTGTTGGAGCTGGCCTGGAAGGAAACCTTTCCAGGCTCAGATGCTGTGAAACACCACATTCATATACATGTAGAAATGCCAAAATTAATTCCCAGAACCATTTTGCTAAATTTTGAAGCATGCAATCTGTTGTGTTTTCAAACCATAGAATGATATTACAGCAAGCTTTTTTCCTTTTAGAAATAGCATATGTTGCTCCTAGAAAGAGCATATGTTGTTAAAAAGAGACTTTTTTTAATGCAAAATTGTCACTTTTATGTAGTGTGGCAGAAGAGGAAACCAAACGTTCTACAAGCACAAGGGACGCAGATGACGAAGCTGCATTGTTGGAGAGACTGGCAAGACGGGAGGAGAGACGCCAAAAACGTCTGCAGGAAGCCCTGGAACGTCAAAAGGAATTTGACCCCACGATCACAGATGGGAGCTCGTCAGTGCCCAGCAGGAGAGAAGTAAACAATGTGGAAGAAAATGAGACCACAGTGAAAGAGGACAAGGCTGAAACACGTCGAGGACGCTATGAGATTGAGGAAACAGAAACGGTTACCAAATCATACCAAAGGAACAACTGGAGGCAAGATGGGGAAGAAGAGGAAAAAAAAGAAGAAAAAAACAAGGAGGAGGTACAGGCGGAAAAACCAAAGGAGGTCTCCATAGAGGAAAATCAGGTAGATGTGACAGCAGAAAAATCCACAGATAAAGAAGAGGTAGTAGAGACAAAAAATCTAGCTACAAATGCAGAGGAACACAAAGCAGAGAATGATACAAATGCTGTGCTGGACAGGGAACAGAGTATAACTGATACTGCAGACAAAGAAAAGCTTAGGGATGAGGAAAAGGCTGAGGAAGAAAGGAAGGAAGCAGAAGAAAGGCAGAGGTTAAAAGCAGAGGAAGAAAAGAAGGCAGCTGAGGAAAAACAGAAAGCAGAGGAGGAGAAGAGGGCAGCTGAGGAAAGAGAAAAGGCTAAGGCAGAGGAGGAGAAGAGGGCAGCTGAGGAAAGAGAAAAGGCTAAGGCAGAGGAGGAGAAGAGGGCAGCTGAGGAAAGGGAGAGAGCTAAGGCAGAAGAGGAGAAGAGGGCAGCTGAGGAAAGAGCAAGGGCTAAGGCAGAAGAGGAAAAGAGGGCAGCTGAAGAAAAGGCTAAGCTAGAGGCAGAGAAATTAAAGGAAAAAGAAAAGATGGAAGAAAAGAAAATAGAAGATAAACAGGTAAAAGAGAAGAAAGTACAAGAGGAAAAACCTCAAGCAGCTTTCCTAAGAAAACAGGTACAGTAAACATTTTGCACCAAAATAAGACACCTGTGGTTTGTGAGAAATGTAATGCAAGAAAAGAAAAATTAATTGGATTTTCCTCACAGATCTATTCCTGCACTGAAATGACTAATACTTCTGTTCTCTCTCTTGCTCTCACTTAAGAAAATTAAAGTTTCTTACTGCTGCTTACCAATAATGCAGAGTATAACTTGCCTGACCTCACTCCATGATTCAAAGAAAACCTTGCATGTTCAGAACTGAGCATGTTTGGGGTTTTTTTGCTGCCTTTTTTTCTCAGCTGCTATAAACTGACCTAATGCAGTATCACAAGAGGTGGAGGCAGACGTATCTTGGCACAAAATATTATGAGCACCTGGGAAACTGTGTGAGAAATGTGTGTGTTAAATGCAATCACAAACAGGGTCTCTCTGCTGGGACTTGTGAGCATGGTGCCACACGAGGGAGAAAGACCCAGATTGAGGAATGTGGGAATATTTGGAGAGGGTGGAGGGAGCACAACTGCACATGGACATGTGGACACAACAGCATATGATGGAGATGTGGCTGCACACAGGAATGCTACATGAACACAGTGTGGAAAAATGCAAGCAGATGCAATATTTTCGTATTTAAAAATTTTATTAAAAACCCAAAAACAAAGGGGGAAGAAAAAGAGGTTAAAGTGGAAGCTAAAAAGGAAAAGTTACCAGATGAGAAGCTCCCACCTACCTCCAAAAAAGATCAGGTAACTTCTAAATGATTGATTTAAATGTTGTAAGGAAACTCAAGAAAGTAAGGGAGCTATAACAGAAAGTTGCTGGTCCAACAAAGTGCTTAAGTGTGTGTTTCACTTCAAGAACCTGGATAATCCTACTGAAATAAATAGGGATGAAGTTACTTATGTGCTTAAAATGAAGTAAATGCTTAAGTATTTTGTTCTTTTGAGGCTTTAGAACAAATACTTAAGAAAACTCAGTTTGGCCCATAATGCAAGGATGGTTTGCACCCTAGGGATGAATTTTTCAAGACTGTATCAACTAATCACCCTTCCTTGGTTTCCTCCCACTTTACTGTGAACTTTTGCCCTATGACTGAGACCTACTCTTACAATAACAATAATAATAATCTAGGCCCTTTGGCTACCTGACTGCCTTAACTAATGATTTTCTTCAAAACTGCAATGCCCCATGATACAAACTGTGCATACCCAAGATTCTTTTTTTGTTTTAAAGAGAAAGTCTACAAAATTTACTGCATTGCATTTCCACTGTAAACACAGAAGCTGGTGCCATGGTGTTTTACTGTATGGTAAGTAAATAAGATTTGGGGACCATTAATTCTTCAGGCTACAACTGGACACAGGGAGCCATGTTCAATGTAGTGTAGCAACTGTGCTTTTGATTCATTGCAGCAGGTATTGAAATATCCCCTGATTCTAATGAGACATTGAGACTGATCAGGCCCTTGGATGTTTGGACCCATTTGGGTTCAGCCAAGTCTGTGTGGCTTAAAGGGAGTCACGGCACAGTGAACTAGTAATACATGGGTTGCTGCCAGTCCAGCTGCTGGGGAGCGTTGACGGTTGTAGAGGGTCCAACCTAGGGTTCTTAATTGTTGGGTTAGTTTGGAACATTCTATAGATGCTTAGCTCACCCTCAGAGTTACGAGGGCAAATCGTGTCACAAGGTTTTATGTCCAGTTGCCTGGCTTGATCATCCAAAGTATTAGATTTTGAGTAAGATTGAAAAGGCAAAGGAAGAGATGGAGATGGTTAGAAGGGTTTCTAATGATCAGGGAGAGAGATTGGCTATACTAGAATGTTACTCTAGAAAGAGGAAGAGTTAAATGAGACCTAATGGAGATGCCTCAAAATAGTGCACTAGAAAGACTGAACAATCATTCTAAATTAACCCAATTGCAAAAAGCAGAGAAAAGAGCTGTGCAAAAAATAAGGGATAGATTGCATTCAGAGTTCCTCATAAAACAGAATCAGTTTCTAATATTCCCTGTTGCACACAATCTTTGAACATTACATGAAAAAAGGAGGCTGTAACTGACCACAAATATTGACTCTGGGGGGGGACTTGAGACACAACTGTCCTGCTTGTGTTTATGTGGAGCTCAGTCAGCTCTCACTGGAGCTCTCATCATGTGCTTAAACCATAGCCACAAGAGCTAGGGTGTTCCAGGATTATTTAAAAGCGACTTGTGATTTTAGTGTTTCCATTTTTGGATGGTCAAACTGAGACAATTTATGAGAATCCTGCTTTTAGTGCAGTGCTGAATACCAAGGCAGCTGAAAGGTAGATCTTCTGCATGTGTGTCAAGCTGGGCATTCAGAATGTTTTACTCAGGTTTGAAAATCTCAGTTGTTGCTTCTTGGCTTGTGAAGAAAAATTGACAATCTCAGCCTCCAAACAAAATCAAGATCAGGCTCCCATCTCCACTCCTTCCTCCCCTTCAAGGATATACAAATTCAGTGAGGCTTATTTCTGAGCCATATATGCAGTTAAGAGGAAGGCAGTATATCACAAACAAGATCCTGAAAGAATACAGTGTGTCTACATAATCAGATTTTGCTTTTGCATTTGCACAATAGAAGCACATGTCCTTTCTTAATGTGACCAAAACCTGGCCCTCAAAGTTCAGTTTTTGATTAAATTAACAAGCAAAATCTGTCTTCTTTTCTGAACTGCCCCACAAGTTTTGGTTCTCAAAAGTGGCCTGGAAAGTTCATAAGAACAAACTTTCTCATGATGTGAGACTCGTGGTATTTCCTGCTTCCAGTTTGGCTAGACATGCTGCAACATTTGCTTTTCTCATGGTATTTGGGTATGGTAGTTGGCTCTAAATGGAAGCCCTAGACCCAGATGCCCGCAGCTTTTAAGTCACCAAGTAATTGAGCTCAAATAAGGCATCAAGGTTGCCAAATGGCCTCAACCTCGGTAACTGATTCACTGTGGTCTGAAGGTGCTCAAAATCTGGATTTATAAATCTCAGCTCTCAAATATTAGCAGAACACCCTAACAGGAAAGAGGCAGTCTAGAGAAAGAGTAGAATATAAATAAATGAAGTTGGAAATTAGCTAAATATGCTTTTGGTCATTTTTTGTCTTTCTTTGATGGTCAAGATTTGTAAGAGCATGTGAACTGCTTTCAGACTACCCCAACTGCAGGCCATGTAGTCCTTATTACAGAATTCAGCAGAAGCTGAACTAGCTTGTAATTTAGGGAAGCGCTGAGACAAAAGAAAGTAGTTTTCCTGTTGCCTGCCTTTGGAATGATACATAATTGTTACTGCTTCTGTGCTAATCAATTTATGTCGGCATTAAAATTAGTCAGAGAAGGACTGGGCCCAAAAGCTGTGAAATATTTCTGTAATATCTTGTTTTATCATCATTTTGAATAAAGAGGCCAAACTGTATTAATGCTTTTCTCAAATGCAGACACATTGCCATAAATCCCACTGGCTTTGGCAATGTTATTTCCTAATCTGTTATTTTTGAAACTATATTGTTTTAATATTAATTTTTTAAGTTATTTCAATTAAGATGAAAGAGATATGGCCCTCCCCAGAGAACTGCAGTTCATCAGGGAGCTGGAAGTATTGGCTTTTTAATGAGACATAGAAAGGTCTTCATGAAAATCTCAGCAAAGGAAATCCCAACACAGACATCCTGGCACGTGAAATCTTGCAACAATCAACATCACTGGTTTCAGTATCGCCCTGACTGGGGCTGAAGGATTAGGAGTATGCTAACAGGCAGTAGAGGTTTTTTTCTGTGAACATGATCGCTAGCTACAGTCTCACCCAGCTTTGAGAGCACCCGAAAGATGTTGCTGTCTGATGGCATTCATTATGCTCAGTGAATAGCCCTGGTTGTCTCAGCCCAGCTCCTAGAAAACAGAAACCCATTCCTTGAGGCTGCTAGTAATAACAGCCTTGTTTGCTAGCAGTTACAGCATCATGGCCAAAGAATGCACAGCCATGAAAACTGAACTCTCCTCTAGTCCATCAGTGTGTTTCTGCCAGTGCTAAAGCCTGTCGGCAGGAGAGGATGGGGAAAATCTGCCCTGCTGCTGCCTGCTCTCAGGACAGAGCAAATGCTTCTGTGGGTTGTGTCCAACGTCCCTCATCAGTGGCAAATTTCCTCGAGTAGTGTAACCACTCAGTACTCAGTTGTAGTGTGTGCCACCTTGGCTTTGTCATCATATTGGTTTCTGTGAACAAGCAAACTGGCCTCAGGTTAAGTCAGAGGCTGGCTTCGGGACTTCACTCAGCAGCTTAATTCAGTGCTTTAGGAGGCTCTTGACTTTGAAGACCCTGAACTCGTCCTTTATTGATAAAGATATTCAACCTCCAGAAGTCCTTCTTTGATGAGGAAGGATATAAATTTGATTTGATTTGGGGCTGGGAGTATGTATTAGGATTTTTATTTCAGGGTGCAGGTTAGAACAGCATAAAAGCAGTTGTGTGGCAGATAGGACTGTTATGGAAGTTCCTTTTCTTTCTACTTAGCAAATGCGGTGGCAACAGACTTTCAAGGGACAAAAGTTTTTTTTTCTAAAGGTCTTCACATGAATTTTTCACAGAAGTATTTCTTGCTTGCCAGCAAGAATCTTCCTTCAACATGATGGAGCGGGAAAAAAAAATAGAATATTTTGGAGGTAAATGTTTCATCTGCTCCTGTTGGAAGTTTATTTAGGTTGGTATTCTGACTGACTGAATTCTACCTAAGGATAAAGAACTTAAATAAGTCCATATCTTCCTCCTCTTATCAGCATCTAGCCATGACTCAGCATGCTGAGTATGTGGTATTGATAAATACTTTAAGCTCATAACTCTGAAGGAATACTGGAGAGTGAAATCCATGCACTAAGTATACTTGATTACTGTTACGCATTCTAGGACAAAGCTTTGTAATGACAAAGTGTTTCTGGAGAGAACATTTGCTTCTTCATAGGATTAAATATTCATAACAGATAGTGTTATCAGCCCCTGGTAGTTTTGCGCTTTTTGTCAGAAAAAGTCTTACTCTGATATAAAGATAACTTTGTGTTTTGGTCATTGTTTTTGCCATACTGAATTATCCGTCTGCTGTGACACTGGAAAGAGCATGAAATTTGTCAGGTAAACTTGACAGTTGGTGAAGGTTATGCATTATTACTGTTTCACGAATGCCCTAAACTTTGTACCAAGAATATATCAACAGAACTAATCCCAAAGAATCTGGAGCCCAGAATCTTAATAGGCAACAGGTGAATGATGCTGCAGCAGGAGGGAAGAAGTTTAGGGTGCTTCAGCGGGGTGCAGTTGCAGAATGAAATGATGTGGTAGCGCAGTCCCACGGCCACAACAAATTTTCACGGAAGACTCGTAAATTTATTCAAGATGTTGTCATCTTAAATTCAGATTAGGACAGCAAGAATGGCATTTGGTCACAGTTTAGAGTTTTACAGACTAATTCTGCCATAAAACACATAAACATTTGAAGACGGTTGCTTAGTTAATCATTAATACCAAGAAGTCTGTGTTCCTCAGCTGTTATTTTGAATGTCTCATTCTGACTTCTTTTTGTCTGTTTGTTTCTTGTTTTTGCTCTACGATTCACGCTATCTCCTGAGCAGGTAAAAGATGACAAGGATAAAGGAAAAGCACCCAAAGAGGAAATGAAAAGTGTCTGGGATCATAAGAAGGGAGTTCCTGAACAAAAGACACAGAACGGAGAACGTGAACTCTCTGCCCCCAAACTTAAATCTACTGAGAATGCCTTTGGGTAAGTTCAAGCAAGCACTGGGCTTACTTGTGTTATAGGAGAGCAGGGGGCCATCACTGGGTCTCTGCTCAATAGCCTTTTATCACCTAAGTAGAACACTTGGGTTGGCAACACCAGCAGAGATGTTCATTGAGCTATAGGCATGAATCAATGCTCTTGGCCTATTTTCTAATGAAATGGACCCACACTGTTGCAGTACCAAAATGAAGTACAGAGAGCAGATATAAATAGCCTTGCTACCTCAGTAGAGAGAAGTGGCTTATTTGTGCTCTGCTGGGTCTTTATTTCCTGGAAGAATATTTATTTGTAATATCTGCATAGAGACTGATAATGACAACAGCCCAAATTTCATGTTCTATATTTTATAAGTTAGATCTCTACCTTTACGGAAGTAACCTATTTCCAAATTTCTAGTGAAAAGTTTATTAAAAAAGGATTCTGCCGGCTAAGGGGAAGGGATACCTGAAACAGAGCCGAAGTTCTTCATTTTAGCAGAAAACCGGGAATGAATAGATTAGAAATCTAACCTTTTTTTTTCCTACTGCACCTCTTTTCCTCTTTCACTTTGACACAAGCAAAGAAAAGGTTAAGCTCTCCAGGCACTTTGAGAAATCTGTGCATGGCAGATGAGATTTGCTCCTGTATCTCAGCATTCCCCGCATCGTTCTTCCAGTAAAAAACAAACTTTCTCAAAATAAAATGCAGTTCAAAAGTCTCTGGAGACACCCCAACCAAAGGCCAAAAGACAGACAAAGATGGACATGGAATAGCAGGAAATCGGCCTTGCTCAGGGCTGTCCTGCCTCATGACTAGGGTCACATCATCAATAACATGAGAATGGTTTTCTAAAAATATTTTCGTTGTGTTTTCATTTGCTTTACTTCCTGTGGGAGACAGGCCTTAGTGGCAACATGTAGATCTGAGTTTCCACTAGCTTTTTTTCTTTTTCTGTTTTTCTTCCACTATTTCCCAATGTGGGAAGAATCCTGTTTAACAACCTTTTATCAGCTCAGTAAGAGACTTGAGTTGGCAATATCAGCAGGGGCTCCGGTGTTCATTGGATAGTTAGGTATGACTTAAGTCTCTTGGCCTATTTTCTAATGAACTGCCCCCACATTGTTGGGCTTTGTCTGGAACTGTCTTTCTTCTTGTTCTTACATGAACGTATCAGACACTAGTTAGGAAGCCTATAACTTGGCTAACTCTCAGTGGTGAGGACTGGGAATAAAACAGGGTCGTGGAGGTTAAAGAAAATCCTAATCTGTGTGTTGTTTGTGTACTTCAGTCCATAAGAGAAATACAGAATAAAACCCCATTTTATGGCTTCCCTTTCCCATCTACCCTCCCACTTGCTTTCCTCCCTATTCTCATACAGGACTGCAAAAGTCCTAAATATGATGTAATATATTTTTTCACATTGTTCTGACATTTTTGGCCTCCACAGACCACTTCTTTCCTTTTTCTCCTTTGTCTGAAAACTGGCAACAAATTTCATTTCTTAGCACCAAAGAGGTGCTTGTTAAACTCTTCCTTCACTCAGCATCTCAGGATTTATTTTCTAACAATGATAGTAGGGAACAGAGATTCCCAGAATCTGTTGAAAACAGAGGAGTTTGGGAGGCAGAGGAGAATAAGGAGAATTAGTGCCACTTCATTGTTTGCTATTTTGGAATATGCAGAACAAGTAGGAAAAGCCCTGTAAGCTGCCTGAGAATAAAATAAGCTAGAAAATTTAAATGTCCTCATTTTTAAGGAAAACAAAATATTCACCTGAGGTCTCCAAACATTTTAAGATTAAACTCTAACCTTTGCTTTTATCAGTGAAAAGATGAGAGTAGCCGTTAATTTCATTGAGGCTATATGTGCTGAGGTTACTGAGGACTAACCTTTGTTCTGGGTTGATATAAGCCGGAGTGGCTATTTATTAAGAGAATCTTGGCAAATGTTATGTTCTTAGTTCTCTTACTGCTGGGGACTAACTATTTTTCCTTGCCAGGGATATCATTATGTCTATCAGAAGTGACCTCTTGCATTTTCCTTAGGCCCAAAGCTTGCAGGTCTGGGTGGGCTGGCAAAACAGACTTCAGAGACCAAGAGGCAAAAAACCAAATCAACCAACCAAGCAAGCACAGATGAAGTATGGCATCTGAATTCTTATAATGTTTTTTAATGTTACAATTCCTAAATCATGAGTGCTGTGCTAGAACTGAATTTCATCCAATTTGGTGAAACCTTGTGGAAGCAGAGAACGCTGTCTTAGTAGATTCTCCTGTAATATTGAAACCACAGATAATTCAGTGCAAATTCAACAGCCTATTTTATATGGTTACTCCATCCTGATGGAGACAGAAAGTGAATGTAATTACAGATTTTTTTCTAAAAACTTCCCACTCCGTCTGAATGAAGAGCGCCTTTGCAAGATTGGGTGTTGTTCACCGAATAGCAAATTTATATGATATTTTTCTTCATGTTGTCATCTCGAATCTGATAGTCTATAACAATTACTGTTATTATTATTGGAATGCTTGATTTATACTTGCTTCTGGCATTATACTTTGCAACACTCTAATTGCATTAATGAAGCTGTTAATATCCAACATGTTAAAATGCCAAAAGAATAGAGCAGGAAGGTTTTTTTAAAAAAATCTGCAATTACATTCACTTTTTGTCTTTTGTGAATAGCACACTTAAGTACCTATCTTCTTGTCAGCAGTAATATTAAGTGCACTCAGGGAGCTGACATTTGTCTAAATACTGATGTGGTAATTGCTTAACTAAGCGATGCTGTCTGACTCTGGTGAAAGTATAAACTTCATCTATGCAAATTCTTTACGGGTGTTTTTGGTATTCTTTCTTTCTGTCTTATATATTACAGCTTGCTGGAAAGCTTCTGGTTTTCTACTTTGAGCAGTCATACTTTCCATGGAAAAAGTCAGCAAAAGATTTGATGAACATTTCTGTTCATATAGGCTGGGAGAGTTAAAGTGATAAGTGTTATACATGAGATGGGAACCTTTTTAGGTCTTTAAAATACTATTAAAGCTATAAGATTCTCCCCCCTCTCTTGTCCCCTTCTGTGTTCCCCAAGTCAAGTAATTTGTTCTGTTCCCAAAGTCTTTTTCTAGAGTGTTTGTAAAAATACTTGTCTTTGAAAGCAAAGGCTTAGTACATCTTCTGTTACACACAACATAGCATAATATTTTTGCCCTGAGGTTTTAATATGTAGTTTTATATAATCTAAAATCAACAGAGGGAAGTTAGTTATGGCTTTTCATTTCTTTGTTTTCTGTATGAAGTATAAGGATACTATTGGAAATCTTTCCTCTGCACACAAACTGCAGAGCGGAGGTGTGAATTAACAGTTTACTGTATACCTTGGAGATGCTGATGAGATACGATACCTCTTGCTGATGCTACAGGAGATGTTAAATATTTCAAGCTCAGTTACTGAATTCTCTTAAAAATGGAGCTGGTCTGAGTTCCCAAACAGTTTAGTGCAGCTCCTTTACCCACAAGCACATGAGATTCCTTCCTCACTGGCAGTGGATGGGAGAGGTGGTCCTTGTAGTATCCCAGCCTACTAACTCCTAATGAAAATACTTCGGGCCTGTCATAGTTTGCAAGGAGCAAAAGGTCTCATAAAGCAATATCTCTGGCTGCCAGGCTCTCATGTTGCTGCTGAGTGTTTGGCAGTTGGTGGCTCTGGCCAAGAAGGGAAAACCCATGGCGCATCATCTTCTCTTTCAATTCTTTCCCAGTCGCTCCAATTTGAAAGGGACTGCAAATACTGAGGAAACAAAGGCGGAGTTGGAGAAGCTGAAGGAGAAGCAGCAAGAGGCAGCAGCAGAGCTGGATGAACTGAAGAAAAGGCGGGAAAAAGGAAGAAGAGGAGCAGAAGAAGAAGCAGGAGGAGGCTGAAAGAAAAGCCAGAGAGGAGGTCAGTGTAAAATCTGAAGTATTGAACTGTGGTTTTAGTCTCTTATTGTTACTGTTTTACTTCCACTAGCCTTGCATTAGTTGATAACTCTTTATAGCAGTGTCTGCACAGACACTTTTAGGCAAAGAAGTTGGTGAGGCTGGAGGTCAATGGGTCTATATTTAACAAAAGGGCAGAATGAGACCACAGGGGACTGACTCATAGGTGAAGAAGGATCATGCGACAAGGAAGGCAAGATAGAATCATAGAATCATAGAACAATTCAGGTTGGAAAAGACCCTTGGGATCATCGAGTCCAACCATTGACCCTACACTACAAGTTCACCCGTAAACCATATCACCCAACACCACATCTAAATGACACTTGAACACATCCAGGGATGGCGACTCAACCACCTCCCTAGGCAGTCTGTTCCAGTTTCTGACCACTCTTTCTGTGAAGAATTTCTTCCTAATGTCCAGTCTAAACTTGACCTGTTGCAACTTGAAACCATTGCCCCTGATTCTGTCCCTAATTACCTGTGAGAAGAGACCAGCACTAACCTCTCTACAATGTCTTTTCAAGGAATTGTAGAGATCAAGACCAAACATACAGGCCAAAGTGTGCTTCTCCTTCTTCGCTCTGATGTTGCTGTGTGAGGAATTGTCATGACTTTGCTTCAGATTGCACCCTTTATCCAGACCCTCTGGGTTGCGTGCTTTTCTGGGCATCGATGATTCTTAGTGTCTGTCAGGAGATGATCTGTCACCTTGATTTCAAATATGCTACCCAGCATTGAAATCGCCCCATTTTCCAATCTTCAGATTTAACTAAACATAGGTGTTTTAGTGAGGAGCCAAGGTAAAACATGCAGTCACCCAGCGTAGAAAGAAGTGTTACAGTTCTAGTCTCGGGAAAGACAGGGCACTTATGCACATGTTCGTCAGCCAGGATTTCATTTGAGATGGTTGTGAATTTTTTATCTTCTTGGGAATATGAAATGTTGAGAACAGTGTTATAGCCACAGAGATTTTTATTTATTTTGGGTGTCTTTTTGACGTTAGCAGATTGAATTACAAAGTGCATTTCAACATCCGTCTGCTGCAGATGAGCTGGAACGCCAGTGCTATATATAGTTGTGATGGGCTCGATCTCATTAGGAAGATATTCTTGTCTATTTAAATATTGAGTGCCCAAGCACATCTGTTTGCTTGTACTTCCTCTTCCAAAGGACTCTATAAATAGGGTTTCCAAATCTCTGGTGCATCATTTAGGAATCTTAGTTGTTTGGAAAACAAATGGTAGATTAATAATAGTGTTTGGCAGCTAAATACCCATTGCTTTAACATACAAGCTCTTTACAGTAGAACTCAATAGATGCTGAGATTGCACAATACTTTTCTGGTCAGACCCTGACGACCGGTGCTAACAATGGTTTGCTTTGAGGGCTTCTGGTTTGACTTGTAACTTGTAAAGTGAAAACTCTTGTTACCTCTTTGAAGGAAAAAACTGTCAGCATTTAATCTTCACTTTTGATGGGAACCTATTAAATTTTCCTTGTGAAGTATCAATTTTTACACAAGTGCCAGAGTAGATGGACAGAAGTACAGTACAAAGATGATACATGAGAATACAAAGAAACTGAATTTGAGTATTTTTATAAATGTGCTTTTTCCTCTCTTTATGTGACACTATATGGCAACAAATCTGGTGACCTCACTACAAGGAGACACTAAACCAGCACAGACCAGCTGTCTTCCCTGAAACCTTAACTCTTGAGCTGGATTAGCAGCAATACGTTGCTAGATTTCAGAGAGGCCACCAAACTTTTCTGGCTGGCATAAAAATCTGATCTTAAAAGATCTGGCAAATATTTGCAGGGCTGCAAAGCCCTGTAATGGTGGTGTAATTTCTGAAAGAATAAATGATTTTTTGTATTTTTTAAGGAGGAAAAGAGGAGGATGAAGGAGGAAATTGAAAGGAGAAGGGCTGAAGCTGCTGAGAAACGTCAAAGGATGCCAGAAGACGGCGTATCTGAAGACAAGAAGCCGTTTAAATGTTTCAGTCCTAAAGGTTCATCTCTCAAGGTAACCTCCCCACTAACATCTATACAGTATGTAAAAAGTAATAGGAGTCGCAGTCCAAACCAACAACCAGAATCAAAAGCAGTGAGGAAATACTCAAAATCCCACCTGGGACAATGCTCTGAAATAGACCTCAGCCTGAAATCCTTCGCTGAAAGACTTCATTCATTGAAATGCTTGAAAATAAGAGATCGTTTCTAAAAATAGAGTCTAGACTTGGACTTACCTGTTCTTGTTGATGAAAAACATGCCAAAGAATCTTCCCCTTCAAGAAAACAATATTTTGGAAACTCAGAATTGTATTACTGTGTTGATTTTCGGTGCTGGCTTACTACAGGAATACTTTGTGAACTGGAGTAGATAAAGATCACAAATGTTCTGTCTCTCCTTCTACATCCACAATTACTTCCTTCCTTGCCAGATTACTTTGTCTTTAAGCATATTCAACCTAATCATCATTAACTGAACCTGCCCCATATGGGAATTCTAGCTTAGGTATAATTCCCCTAAAAATAACATCTAGAAGTACTGGGCCGGATTTCATTTTCTTATGTAACAGGGCAAGAAACCCCAACAACCTTCTGTTGCTGCAGGAATTTCTAAGTGGTCTTCTGTGGCCTATATTATATTGGAAGTCAGATAAATCAATTAAATTGCCTTTCACCATGGAAGAGGAATCTTGGCCCTACTTAAATTATTGGGAACTTTATTTTGATATTCAGTCCAGTTGCTTTCTCAGCTTAAATTCAGTATTAATTGTTTTCAACTATCTTCTCTCATTTTACATCATTAGTAGTTTAGAGAATCAAAAATGTTTGTGAAAAAGGCCTTGTAGTGGGCACCAGGAGAGAAAAGAGTGAGGGAGGAAGTTGTCAGGTAGGAACTCATTGAACCACGAAGTGTATCTTGATGGTATTAAGAGCTCTGTTTGTTGAGTGACAAACTGCATTTGGCCAAAATTACATTTCCACTCACAGAGAGGTACACTTTGAACCAATTTGGTGCTTCAGCCTTGTACTCTTATGGGTCCAGTTCTAGCAAATACCGTGTCCAAATGCTTTTGGCTGGATTTGTCTTTGACTTCTCAGCTACATTTTAACCTGAAATACAAATACAGAATACATACAACTGTAAATGAAGATTGCCAGCCTTCGCAACTTGCTCCTGTCACATAAACTTGATCTTGCCATTTTGGTTGCAGAAGAGCATGTCAATAACAGACGCTATAAATTTACAATTTCTTCTCAGCCCTCCCCGGAGGGCTTTGTCTTCTTCTTTCTGTTTATTGAGATGCTTTTTATGACATATATTTGGAGCTCTAGTTCACTGATGACTCACAAGAGAGGAAATTATATTTGAAAACACATAATAGAAAGATATAGATCACAATTTTAGGGAGAGTAGGAAAAAACACTGTATTTGATAGGAGGTTAATAGCTTTCAGAGAACTTTTGGACTTATGCTATGCTGCTCTACTCAGTGTATTTTTAGAGGAAAACTGGATTTTTCCAAATACCATTGAACATCAAAGGTTTGCCTTTTTTTTTACTATGATAATTGCTGCTGGTTTTATTGGCTTGTTAGGTAGAAGATATTTGTTACAAAAACTGATATATGCAACTCTGTACACATTTTTCTCTTTCTCTGTTTCTCTTTCTGAGAAATTGGTGATACTGTACATATTCCAGGCCTGTGTCTGTGGGTGGCCGAAGCAGACCCGTAATGCTGTTCAACTTCACACCCTGGGCTGTTTCTTGCCCTTCTGTAGTCAATAGCTGAGGACAATAATCTCATTTCAACAACCTGATGTCAAATTTGATGTCAAACTCTGGTTTTTAGAAAACAGTGTATATTGTTACTTTTCATTTTGACCGACTTCTCAAGCTTGCCTAATCTAGTTGGTACACAGCTTTCTCATTGTCTCATGTTATGCACAGCCCAGGTTATCTTTTGACTTGTTAAAACATCTGGCAAATATTTTCTGCCTTGATGAATGTATCTGTCCTGAGTTATGTTAAAACACTAAATGCACAATTCTGGGTTAAAATTAATAATGAAAAAAGTAGGGCTCAGTATTAAAATACTGTATGATAGATGTGCACGTTCTGACTTCTAGATCACAATATGGCAAAGCATCTTTTTCTCCTTCCTTGTCCTTCCTGATGTGATAAACTTTTGGAAAAAAATAAAGAAGTTCCTGGGAGTGACATATGTGAGGAAATTAAGGCATGCTGTTTACCAAATGAACCACAGGAACAAGGGAAAATAGTGTGGTGTATTACCACCTTATGGACACTGCTTTATTCATCAGGCAGGGCATGGACTAGCGTGACATGCAGACACAGAATTGAGAGACCAAGATGTGCTACTCATCTCTGTGTATTAAATGGTTCATGGATGCACATTTAGAAATGTATGTATACAAATACGAGCAAATTATATGTACGTGCTTATATTTAGAAAGAACTACTATGATTATCTAGTCTGGCCTCTAATAAATCATAGCCTATACAGTGTTGACCACTCCTGTTGTTTCAACTGTTAAATACAGTATTTTCCTGAAACGTGAGACACTGCTTCAACAGAACTGCTACAGCAGAGTGGAGTCCCTCCAGTGATAGCACAGGAGCTGGTCCTTTTTGAAGGAACAGCAAAGAAGTAACATACAAAGTAAATACAGGCCAAGTTCATCACTAGATAGACAGAAGCAGCTCGGATTTCCCAGGATTGGTGGAATTCCTGTGGGTGGTACAAGAAGTATCAAACCTCTGTTCAAGCTTTACCCTCTCTCTTGCATTTGTTTGTGGGGTTTTTTTTTGTAAGGACAAAGATTGGAACAATCTCTGCTGCTTTCGTGTCCCACTCTACTTCATGCTTTTCCTAGTCTAGTTTATACAAATGGTGCTGCAGTATATGAATGAGATTTCCTGCATAATCTTTACTAATTTTCCTTTTTAGACAAGTTCATTCCTCATATTTTCTTTGGGAAGAAGTGTTACTGACTTTTTGTATAACTATTCTCTAGGTTAATCAGGAGAGAACAGGATATTTCAGTACTAAGTCTCCTCTTGGGGGTGAGCTCCACCACTACAGAAATGCAAAAGAATTAGACACTGAGGGGAAGAAGCAATGGCAGGAGCCTGAGAGCCTGGGACAGCTACTGTCTTTGTAGAAAATTTCTCCAGGGAAATATGGGCTGATGTCGTAGACTGCACTCTCTGCAAGGCAATGAAGATAAGACTTTTCAGGGCTTGAGGTGTTGTTTTTTTCTACTTTCCTTAAAGACCTGTCTCGTCTTATCTTATTATTGCTCTCAGTACCTGATAGTTGGAGGAGTGACTAGACAATCGATCCTTCCTAGATTAGCCACTCTTGCAGCAGAGGGAAGAGTGGTAAGAACAGGATTTGTGGTATTTGTTTTTCCCCCTTCTTTGATGCTGATGACAGCATTTTAGTTCAGCA